TTTCAGCACAATCAGTCTAGTAACCTATAAAAAGGCCTAAGTTTCCAAGAATAAAATCATTCACCTTTTTATCAAAAGTTTCTTTAAATATGTGAATCCCTTGTTCAGCTTCTAAACATTTTATCCCTAGGAGTTAATTCTTTACAAAGCACTTTGCCTTAGATCTTTGTTTGTGGAGGTGAATATCACGATCTCTGGCGCTTCTACACAAGTTATTGGTCTCTTTATCGATCAGAATCAGAGGGAAACACTTGAGAGAAGTGAGGCTTAGGCTCTTATATGTGCTATTTTTTCTTGTTCAGTTTCTTAACAGGAACCCATGTCTGGAGGAAGCAATGGCAGAAGGAGACGTCCTGAAAAGGAATTATACTCTAACCAGTTTGACTCTGCAACGAAACCAGCTTTTGAAAGAAGAGAAAAATCTATGAGAAAAAGAGATTCTTATGCTATTGATGAGTCTGGTTACTGTTGGGGTCAAAATCAGTATGACGGAATCAACGACCAAAACTTTCCGAAAAAATTAAAAATTCGTTTTAGAAAACTCGTAGAGCCGTACTATAAAATACTAAGAAACTTCCGAACTAAGGAAACGCGCGGAAAAAATTGGAAACCGTGTTTCGGAAAAAACAAACGAAACAAACAACGATTACACGATTGTCCGAGTTAAGCGCAAACATACGTTGATAGGCATCATGATGATCTGAAACATGTGCGTCATGTTCTAAAGAAAGAATTTGGTTTATGATCTGAACAAGAACATATCTTGCACTGATAATTCTGGATATCTAGTCTATGTTTTAACTGTCCAGGAACAACAGGTTCAGTAACAAAAGAGTGTAAGGGATGAGAGAAGAGACCAAGCTTATCAGTCTAAGATTTGGAGATGAAGTACTTGAAGAAAATGGCTTCAAAACTCCAAAGAAGTTTCTGTCCAAAACTCTTCTTTGATGTTGCTTATATGTTTATTTGCTTGAACCTTCTCGTGTCTAACCTATTTTCTTTTGATGTAGGAGATATAGATTTGAGGACAAATCTTTTTAAAGGAGGAGGGGGTGATGTAACCATGGGTAATCCAGCTCATTATCCAACATAGGACATACCAGGATGGATGAAACCAGCTAAGGAGACTGAGGACGAGTTGAAACCAGCTAAGGACACTGAGGACGAGCTGAAACCAGCTAAGAAGACTGAAGTTTAGCTGAAACCAGCTGAAGTTACTAAGGTTAAGCTGAACCATCTGAGTGGCACTACCTTGGAGCTGGGTGAACTGAAAGAGCTAAGTAACACTGAAGGAGGAGCTGGATTAGCTGTTGGGCGAAATAAGCCTTTTCCAGCCGAAGAAAAAGTTCATAAAAAGTTTATTAAGGGCCTGATACATGCAAAATTAGACCAGCCCTTTTATCAGTCAATTTCTGGTATTTTCCCATCAAGAATACCAAAAGAGAGTCAGCAAGAAAGTCTTGGTCGTGGGCAAGCAAGAGTCATTCAACAAAACACTCAATTCTGGTCAAGTCTTGCCTAGTTCTTTGTTTTCTAGTTTTTGCACAAGTCTTTGTTCCTAGTTTCTAAGTTTATTATTTTGCAGCACAATCAGTCTTGTTTTCTACAGATTGTAACCTATAAAAAGGCTTAAGTTGCCAAGAATAAAATCATTCACCTTTTTATCAAAATTTTCTTTAAATCTTTGAATCCCATGTTCAGCTTCTGAACATTGTATGCCTAGGATTTAATTCTCTACAAAGTACTCTGCCTTAGATCTTTGTTTGTGGAGGTGAAATTCATGATATCTGGCGCTTCTGCACAAGTTACTGGTCTCCCCGTTGATCAATCTCTGAAGAATCATCCTCATCGCTACCTTCTTCCGCAAACCATCAATCCATCTATCCAAACATCAAGAGTTCGACCCAAAATCAACCCTCAAGATCATCAAAGGGATTAAAACCAGCGATGGTGGTCAAAGTTTAATGGTGATGCTGGTAGATCTATCTTTGGTGGTCCGGAACAGTCATAAACTCGGGTAATAATAATCCTCAGCCGATGTATTGAAACTAGTTTCCGAAATACCCCTTGATCATATCAGGAACTGATACCTACTCAAATTATCCAGAGCTACTGATTACTCTTTCAAATAAAAAAAATTAGCTATGGTACTTCGAGACTGAATCAACACAGATCGAGGATACACAACTGATTTGATAATCAACTTACTTATGCTAGACAATTTATATGGATTTTAAAGATAAATAAATAAGAAAATAGTTGATTTTTAAATAATAAAAGAAAATAGTTAGATCTATGGTTTCAGTTAGTGAATTATAATGAATAGAACGGTAATAGACTTTAATCATAGAGCACAAATTTAATTGGTAAATATATCAAAATTTATATCTATCTAAGCTTCGAGTATACAACTTTCGGATGCAAAATCGAATTGACAGTAGATTGATGATACATAGGTTACATCAATCGATGAATTTCTTAATCAAGCATTAATTCCATATTCGGGTAATCACCTAAAACCACTAAATCAACACTCGTATGTATCTAGTATTCTAAGCTCATCAGAGATTTTTCAGCTCTTGATCAAGTAATCACACAATTTTCAATATCTTTGTTCATAGTTTTAGGTAACTAATCTAGAACACAAGCATTAAGCAGTCTACAAATGATAGATCTAATAATCACCCTAGCAATTTTATTGTTTGGCTAATCCATCAAAACCTTTACTAAATCCTAAATCTAATAAGGTGACTACTCAGACATATTCAAGCAACACATAATTATAATCATAAAATATTGCATAGAATATAAAATAGGGATAAAAACTAGGTTCCAATACAAAGCTCCGAAGATGTCTTGATATTCTTCCAAAAAACCTTAAACTACTAAATTTGTTCTGGGAATATTGAAAGAGTACAAAAAGCTGTCGTTTGCATAAAATACCAGCAAAGAGCATATAAACTAGGTAAAACTCGTCTAGGAGAAATCTTGTAATTTGTTGTGATTTGGGCTTCAGATAAGATGTTTCATGGAATGGGTTTTCTCGTGTCAAGCGTCGATCGATAGCAAGGGAGTGTCATCGATCGATGCTATGCTTTGTCTCGACTTCTTACTATGCTAAAACTCGTCTAGGGGCAATCTTGTAATTTGTTATGATTTGGGTTTCAAGTAAGCTATTTCGTGGAATGGGTTTTCGCGTGTCGATCGTTGATCGATAGCAAGGGTGAGTCATCGATCGATGCTATGCTCTGTCTCGACTTTGTACTATGCTGAATTTGACCAGTTACAGAATTCTCCTCTCTTTAAACTCTAGAAAGCCTAATAATCTCTACAGTGCTCAAAAACACACTTGAATCTGTGAAGACTATAAAACACATCCTAGACACACCTAAAAAACTCTAAATAAGGCCTATAACATGGTCTAAAAGTGGTAAATATAGGGACCTATCAGAAATATTGGATTGCTAGAAAATAGGCTCTAGATGATATTCAGGCAACTGAGAAGCAACATTCATTTCATATTCAAGCAGATATCAATGCTTTCTTCTAAAGTGTGTGGAAGAAGGGAACTTTTCATAATCTTCACTCGCCAACGATTGGAATACATATGTACAGTAGAACCTCTATAAATTAATAATGTCGGGACTTTTAAATTTTATTAATTTATAGAGATATTAAATTACAAAAGTTTTCTTATTTAGATTTCTTATTTTAAGATATATGTGTTCTAAGATAAGAAAAATATTTTTAAAGTTTGATATTTATATTATTTTTTATATTATTTACTATATATAATATATATTTATAGAATTTAAATATTTTTAGATATTATATTACTAAATCTCATCAAATATGTTAAATTTTAAGAATATATAAAGATAATACTATTGTGAATACAAAACAAACAATATAATTATCGGTTTTTACTTAGTTTATTTACTAAGAATACATAAAGATAATATTATTTTAACGTGATCATATATTTATAGAGTTTTTTTAAAATATTATTCTCTTTTGATTTTATCGATTTGTATCAAATTTTAAATTGGTCCAAGCTGAGAACGGTAGAATTTTTTAATTTATAGAAATTGTTAAATTATCGAGTATTAGTATATAGAGATTCTACTGTACTAATCTTTAGAATGATTTAGAAAATGAAAGTGATGAACTTCGTAGGATCTAACTCGCTTATTTATTGGTGAAACTCCGCAACCTTTGAGATATGAAGAGATGTACTGAATGAGACAGCTTAAGATGAATGGGATGGTAATGTTAATGATAACATTAATTGTGTTAAGTGAATCTAATCGACGACAAGAAAACTATTTGCTGCAGTATCTTCATAGTTTTTGGAGAACATAGACAACAAGTTAATCTAACAGGGAAGAAGAAGAAGAAACGTATGGATAACCTAAGTTAAACCATACCCAATAAAACTCAAACAAAAAACTCTTTTATTGTTTTACTGGAAGCCCAAACTAAGAGCAGGTACAGCGCGGTAACACCACGGGTCTTTAGTGGTAATCCTTAGCCGTTTAAGAATTAAATTAATATTAAAAAAATCTCATCGGCTAAGGATGAATCCTTAATGAAGATGTTTAAGGATTTAGTCCTTGATGAGCTGGCAGTCATATTCTATCGACATATCCACCTCTGTTACCGTTTTCTTCTTGTTTTCTCCTATATCCGTCTTCTCCTTCTGTTATTGGTTTCATCGTCGTCGAAGAACCCTCTAGTTTTCTTTGTTTTTCAATTCAATCTTCTTATCATCAATCTACACCATGTTGTAAACCGGCCCAAATTTTTTTCTCCGCTCGAAGAGTAGAAAATCCTTCGTAAATCGTCACAGTAAATCGGTAAATCGTCTCTATTTTTCTCATCATCTCCGTCTTCTATTGTGATCTTTGTCACGACTTTTCATATTCCCGATTAGTTTATTGAGTTGCGAAATTTGATTTCGACAATTTTGAGGTTGCTGGGATTTTGTAGGTGGTTAGATAATGGCGACGTTTGATCTATACAGGAGATCAATGATAGGGATGTGTTTGACGGAGACTTTGGATGAGATGGTTCAGAGTGGTACCTTGAGCCCTGAGCTAGCCATCCAAGTTCTTGTTCAGTTTGATAAGGTTACTGATCTTGAAGTCTTTTTGGTTTTGCTTCTGTGAATTTTATTTATGTCTGATTATCTGTGTCCTTTTGTAGTCCATGACTGAAGCTCTCGAGAGCCAAGTTAAGACCAAGGTGTCTATCAAGGTGATCTTTCTCTCTAGTTGCGCTCTTTTCTTTTTTTTTAATTCTTTGTTTTGTAATACTGAATTATAGTAAACGGTATTGGGTAGAAGTAAACATGTTGTTTCTGTTTGTGGTTGATAGAGTTCTAAACTATCTTGCTCTTGTTCGGTTTGGTCAGTTTGTGAACCTGATGCAGTATTCATGTTTCGTGGAAGAATTGTTTTAGAGTAGAAATTTTAGGGGCCTTTTAGCATTTGAGCGCAATTATTCGTGTCTAGTTTTGAGTTTCTTTTGGTTGCAACTTGATTTAATCTGTATGCATACCGTTATATGCATTATGATTAGAATAAGGGCACAAAGATAGTGCTTTGTGCCCTTATCAGCAGCCTAGTAGAATAAACAATCCACCACCGACGTTGTGTTCTTCTACCCACCGTTCTGCGAAAAACCGTATTGGTCATGCTCTTAGGAGTAGCTGGGGAAGAAGAGAATCTGATCACAAATGCCAAAGAAAAGCAATTCTCTGGTAAACAACCAGTATACTTATACATGGCATACATGTTTTTGTTAATGAATGTTGCTAATGTTAGGTTATTGTGGGTGTCCTTTTATAGGCAGTGATGGTTGAGTTTGTCGGAATGATTAAGGTTAACACCATTGGAGTTTCTCTAATAACTGAAATACAAACAAAAGAACACATGTTTAAGTAGTCTGACGTGTCAAAAGTTCTTCTCTTTTTATTTAGTGACGTGACTAAGATAGGGAAATCAAGATTAGTGGGTCTTTAATATGTAACTGAGTTAAAAAGCAAGAACTTGAAATGTCAATGCGGTTTATGTTTGTGTAAAATTTCGTGAGAATTTCAAGAATATGAAAGACACTGATCGCGTACAAACTAAGAAACAAAAACAAAAATATTTCAAAAGGTGTAGACAAAAAGTGAAACTCACATCATCGGATTCTTTCTTCTCTTCTCTTTTGGCCTCGGCCGCAGGAGCACTACAAGAAAACGCTGTCACAGCGACTACATATTACGACTATAATTTTTCTCTTTTGGCCTCAGCCGCCGGAGCACTACAAGAAAACGCTGTCACAGCGACTACATATTACGACTATAATTTTTCTCTTTTGGCCTCAGCCGCCGGAGCACTACAAGAAAACGCTGTCACAGCAATTACATATTACGACGCTGTCACAGCAACTACATATTACGACGCTGTCACAGCAACTACATATTACGACTACATATATATAGTCGTAATTAACCATCTCTTTTACGACTACCTTATGTCTAAAAAAGAATTAATCGTAAATCAGAGGTTAACTTGCTACCAATTCCATTAGATCAATGTACGACCACGTGCCCGTGTAAACGTAGTGTAGTCGTTAAATTACGACTAGTGTACGATGCTAATTGGTCGTAATGTACGACTCGATTACAACTAAATGATGGACAAAGATGCTAATTAGTCGTAAACATTCAAAGCTAGGTAGTCCTAATGTCTCCTATAAAAGAGCCATCATTTTCTCCAAAAACCAAACAAATATTTTAAAATATTTGAGATAAAGAATTGATAATTTAGTTGAAAGATTTGAAAAAGAGAGAAGAAAAGTACTAGGATCACAACTCCGAAGAGATCAATGCGAGAAGTACGTTGAAACGTTGGTTTCGCATAGAATCCACGGACTTGTGATTCTAGTATCTTTCTTCTCTTCTTTTTCAAATATTTCAAAAGTATCCATTGTTATCTCCAAAATCTAAACTAATATTTTGAAATATATTAAAAAAGAGAGTTGATAATTGAGTCGAAAGATTTTTAAAATCTAAGAAAAAGAAAGAAAAAAGCTACTGGATCACAACTCCAAAAGATTAATGCGGAACTAATATTAAAACGTTGGTTTCGCTTAGAATCTATGGACTTGTAATTCCAGTGTCTTTCTTCTCTTTTTAAAAAAAAATATTACAAATGTAGTCCTTATTTGGTCGTAACTGCCATTTGTCACTCATTGGTTTGTGATTTGTTTACTTCACTTTCACTTTAGTAGCGATGGAGTTTGTTCATGAGGTGAATAATAAATAAGAAATTCACTGTTTCAGCATCTAGAACACTTTTTACACATTTCGAGAAATAAAGCATATGAAATGTTTTGGAATGATAACAAACATGGGTTTGAGATTTGTCTACTTCTCAGTACGTACATAAGGAGAAAGTGATGACACTAATGATAGTGAGAGGTATTTGATGGAATGGCAAATCTATTAACCTTCTTCTCCAAACTCCTGTGTGAATCTCTCATGGACGTCAAGGTCAGATTTGCTCACTGTTGGCCTCTGCCTAGCAAGTACTTTCTCGAAATCTGTTCTTGTGATCGGTGGCGGAATAATCTGTGAAACAAACAAATCAGTCTTTAGTTTAACAGCATACACATGAATATGACATGACAAAAATTTAACTCAGACAAACGAAATTCTCTGAAGAGCAGTGCAGACTCATGCATCCTAAAACACTATGTCTTCCAGAAGATCTATGAGAAGATCGAAAGGATTTAAAAAATCACAAAGTAAACTTTTGATAGGTACCTTTTCAGCAAGGCCTTTAGCTGCTAAATCTTGCATAGTGGTTTGGATAGCTCCAGGTTGCCTAGGTCCACATGGCATCCATGTACCATCAGGTGACTTAAAAAAGAACATTGCATCTTGAGTTTTGCGAACAGGCTCAAAAAGAACATCTTTTACCTGCAAGACTCAGAAAAGTTGTTAAGATAAAGGCTCATCTATATAAAGCTACTTCTGTGGCAACCCGTGGAAAAAATAAAAAATTCACTAGGTTCAAGCTACGTACACAAACGGAAACATCTGAACCAGAAAACCCTTCTGTCTTCAGCCCCAAATATTCAAAATCAGATTCAGTTAAATTATGAGGTGTGTCTCCCAAATGGACCTGCATAAAACACATACCTTTTAGTAAACGGATGATGTTTTCTTGAATCATTTTACTTGAGGAACTCGAAGCTAATAAATTTTTTATACTTTGAACATATGCTGCCTAGCCTTGGCTTCTGGGAGAGGAATATAGATACGCTTATCAAAACGTCTTCTAATAGCCTGAAAATCAACATGGTGTTAACAGATCAGTATTTTCTAGACAGGAAAAACAATTTAAGAACCAATTCTCTATTATGACTTTTCACCTGATCAAGAGCATAAGGTGTATTGGTTGCTGCAAGCACAAGTACTTTATCATCACTGTGTCCAACACCCTAACAGAAAAAGAGACAAGTGACGAAGAAATGTTTCTGCTAATATTGAATGACAGAGTAGATCGGTAAGTTTCTAACCTGCATCTGCACAAGAAGCTCTGTCTTGATACGTCTTGAAGCTTCGCTCTCGTTTCCTTCTCCTCGCTGACCACAAAGGGAATCTATCTCATCAACGAAAATAATCGAAGGAGAACTTTCACGGGCCATCTCGAAAAGGTTTGATACTAACTTCTCACTTTCACCCATCCACTTCGACACCAGGTCTGATGAAGACACGCTGATAGTTGGGAGGTTAAAAGGAAACAACTTTTCTTAAGTTTTAACATGTTTCCAAGTATAAACACTGTAAAGGCAAGATGAAACCAGAAAACAACAAACATAAAAGTAAACAGCCCAGCCATGATTCAAAACCCAATACCCGAGCATAAGGTGTAAGCTTAGAAACTAGAAAGTTTCATCATTGTAATCAAGACGCCCCACTAAACCAAGAATGTGTGCCACCCTTGAAACCAATGATCAGAAAGCTTGCCTTAAACAAAACAACATTATGTTGGTTCTCCTATAGGACATTTAGATTATACCGTAGATTACACAATAGTTATCGAAATCTAGCTGCAGATGCTTGTAGGATAACATGCATAGATAGTCGAGACTACTACGACTATATGGCAGGATACAGCTAAACACGAAGAAACATTTGCAGCAAACGTAATCCTCTCACAGTACGAAAACCCTTTTCAGAAATCAAGAGCAAATATAGCTAAGGAGTAATTCAAGAGCGTAATCAAACCAATCACAAAATACTCAATAGTCCCTACATCTCTTAAGACACTGAACTATCATCATTTCCCAAGCTCAAACTGTTTTAAAATGAGTTACCTAAAAAAAGTGGAGTCAGCTTCAGTAGCAACAGCCTTGGCCAAGTAGGACTTTCCTGTTCCAGGCGGCCCATACAGCAGAAATGCTCGCCACGGCCGCCTCTTTCCTAAGAAACGAAGAAGCAATAATCAATCACCAAAACCAGTCCAAATTAATGACATGATTCCACTAAATCACATACCAGTGAAGAACTGTGGGAACTTTACAGGCAAAATCACAGCTTCCTGCAAAGCTTGCTTAGCGCTTTCGAGCCCAGCAACATCTGTCCACTTAATGTTAGGTTTCTCTCTCACAATCGCAGAGTTCAATCCAGCTCGGAGCTTCGATTGCTCTGTGTCCTCTCCACCTTCTCCTCCTCCATCTTTCGGCTTACTCTTCGGCCTCGTCGCCACCGCTGCGTCTCCGTTAGATCCCGGACCCGATCCACCTTCATCGAGAACGGCGCGGATCTCCTCCGCACGGCGAAGGTACTCCGTGAACTTCTGGGTAATAGCTTCTCTGATCTTGGGATTCTTCTCGTACTTGAGATGCGTTTTGAAGTACTCAAGCGCGTTCATGTACAGAGGAAAAGCCTTATTGTAATTCCCAGCATTGTCTTCTTGCACGGCTTGCTTCACGTACTCGATCGCTTGTTCCTTGAAATTGCTGTACATATCTATTAGGATTTACCGATTTCCTCTGCTCGAACCTATTGTACTTCGAGGATCGGTGTGATCAAGGATCGTAGATGAATTTTAGCTGAAGATCGGAGAGGATTGTGAACGATGGAAGAACTAAGGGATATACTGGAAATGATGAAAGCCCGATTTGACGTTGAAGACGAAATGGTCTATAAAACAACGGAGCGTAGACATGTAAAATGATGAAACGTTGAAGCTGTTTTTGTAGGATTGATGAGTTGGCTCAACGTTTTGATGAATGGCAATGAAACCACTTGCCGTCTTTTTCCTTGCATACTGTTTTTCTCCCCTCCCTTTTGTATAAAAAAGGTTAAGTTATGTAATAGCCAAACTTGAAAATAAAATTAAGTATTTATCATTGATTTTGACATAATTAATTTTCACAGCAGTTGTTCATTTTTCTTCTCTTTATATTCTTTCTTTGTAAAGGTTTCCGGTAAATAAATTATGATAAGGTGTATAAAAAATAGTGATCATAAAGACACAAATATGATAAATACAGAGAAAACTTTAACAACGATAACGCAAACCGGAGAAAAGACTCATATGATTACGGAAGAACCGGGCGTTTGTGGATATATATAAGTAGTGGTGGGTTTTTTGTAGCCTAAGTAATTGTCGTCATAATGATATTGACTAAGTCATGGTAGATGATGAGAAGCAGGTACAAAAGCAGGTACAAAGAAAAAGATAATGTTTAGAGAAGAAGAAGTTTAAATGGAATGGCTCCGGAGAAATAAAATGAAGAATTATTAAAATAGAAAAGTAACAAACAAAATATTATAGTATGTTGTAAATTAA